CCTCCTCCTCCCCCTCCCCTCCACTTGTTCCCTGCCACCCTCTTGTTCCTTGATCCGTGCTCCCTGCTCCTCCTCCTCCTCCTCCTCCTACCCTCCTCCCCTCACTACCCCCGCCTTCTCCTCGTCCTCCTCCTCCTCCTCGTCCTCCTCCTCCTCCTCCTCATCCTCCCTCCCCTCCTCTTTGTTCCCTGCCACCTTCTTACTCCTTGATCCGTGCTTCCTGCTCCTTCCTTCTTCCGCCCCCCCTCCCTCTCTCCTCCATCCCCTCTTCCCTCCCTCCTTCCCGCCTCCTCTCTCTCTCTCACTCCCTCCTCCCTCTTGGAGCGCGTTCCGACAAGGATTCGCAGGCGGAACCAACCGCAGTGACGACGGGGGGGAAGGGATGTCGCCCTGAATCGCAGGATGATGATGATGATGATGATTATGATGATGATGATGATGATGATGATGATGATGATGATGATGATGATGATGATGATGATGATGGTGGTGGTGGTGATGATGATGATGATGATGAGGAGGAGGAGGAGGAGGAGGAGGAGGAAGAAGAAGAGGAGGAGGAGGACGAGGAGGAAAAGAGGAGGACGAGGAGGGGTCCGGTGAGGTCAGGATTGGTCAGGTCAGGTCAGGTAAGGGCAGGCAGTCCTCGAAAGCTTCTCGGTGAGAAGGCATCTGGGGTGTCGAAGCAAGCACAACTCCAGCCCAGAGGAGAAGGAAGAGCAGGAGGAGGAGGAGAAGGAGGAGAATGAGGAGCAGAAGCAGGAGGAGGAGGAAAAGGAGGAGCAGGAGCAGGAACAGGATCAGGAGCAGGATCAGGAGCAGGTGCAGGAGCAGGAGCAGGAGCAGGATGAGTAGGAGGAGCTGGACGAGGAGAAGGAGGAGGAAAAGGAGGAGGAGAGGGAGGATGAGCAGTAGGAGCAGATGTACCAGGAGGAAGAGAAGGGAGAAGCGGGAGTGGCGGAGGAGGAGATGGAGTAAGGAAGGAAGGAAGGAAGGAAGGAAGGAAGGAAGGAAGGAAGGGAAGAAGGAAGGAAGGACGGAAGGGAGGAGGAGGAGGAGGAGGAGGACGAGGAGGAGGAGGAGAAGGAGAAGGGAGAAGGGAATATGCCTGCCTGCTCGCCCGCCTGCTTCCTTCCTCCTCCCTTCCCGTACTCCCTTCTCCATTTCCCTTCCTTCGTCCTCTCCTTCCTCCTGGACCCGAAGGGGGCCTTTCCCCCCCTCCCCGCGCGCGCGACAGGGCGATCGGCGCCGCGGACGCTGTGCATCTGCCGCACCGGTTGGGGTCGTGGAGGGGAGGAGGAGGGAGGAGGAGGAGGAGGAGGAGGAGGAGGAGGAGGAGGAGGAGGAGGAGGAGGAGGAGGAGGAGGAGGAGGAGGAGGAGGAGAGGAGGAGGAGGAGGAGGAGGAGGAGGAGGAGGAGGAGGAGGAGGAGGAGGAGGAGGAGGAGGAGGAGGAG